TAAAAATTAGTGTTAGAAAATGAAGACTTGTTAACTCCCATCATCTCTTATTTTATGACAGACCCAAATCAAAATACTTTCAAGCTTGACTATGGTTTTGTTGACACGAAAGAATGATCCCAAACACTCTTAAACAAAGGATGCAACTATAAGAATGCTGCTTTTGGTGGGACACAACTGAGAGTACCAATTCAGGACAAATTGCGTAGAGCAGGGCAGTCACAGCCCCAGGCTGGTGGTTCTCCACCTCTAAGGCACACCAAACCAGCCAAACAGAGAGGACTTCGGTCTCACCCCACTGGCTAACCATAAGTCATACAAGCAATTCCCTTAGACACGCCAGTTTTCCAGTATCAACACCAGTGCCACTCATTATGGGGACGAATGGTTATGAAAACCAACACCCCAGTAAAAGAAAAAAGGTTCTCTCAATCCCAAAGGACCAACCCCCAGACCCACATCAATATACAAGTGAGATCTTACCCACAAATCACTCTGTTGCCAATCCTTTAGAATCTAAATTCTAAAGGTTTATTTAGAGAAAGAAAGAAATATAAATGAGAGTTAAAATTGGTTAAATGGAATCAATTACATACAGTAATGGCAAAGTTCTTGGTTCAGGCTTGTAGCAGTTATACAATAAACTGCAGGTTCATATCAAGTCTCTGGAGTACATCCACAGCTGGGATGGGTCATTCAGTCCTTTGCTTAGAGCTTCAGTTTGCAGCAAGTTTCCTCCAGAAGTAAGAAACAGGATTGAAGACAAAATGGAGGGGTTTCCAGGGTATTTTATATTCTTTGCCCTGTGGAAGGACACCCCTTTGTTTTTACTGTGGAAAATCCCAGCAGCAAGATGGAGTTTGGAGTCACATGGTCAAGTCACATGTCCATGCATGACTCAGTTTGCAGGCAGCAGCCATTGCTCACATAGTATCTTGAACATTCCCAGGAAGACTTCTTATGTGGATTGGAGTCTCCCAAGGTCCATTGTCAGTTAAGTGTTTCTTGATTGGGCACTCAATTTGAAAATTCCTTTCTCAAGAAGCTGACCAAATGCTTCACTAATGCTATTCACAAACACACTGAGATACAAGTACATAGCCAATATTCATAACTTCAACTACAAAAATGATACACACGTACAGATAGCATAATTATAACCATCAAATCATAACCTCTTCATAGGCACCTCACACAACAACCTTTGTACAATATTCGCTGCAAATATATGACAGTGGTTGCAACAATGATCTATATGGTCACAGATCATGTCAATAACATCACAGCAACAAATATAGCTTTTTGTTTGGTTTTGATCCATTAAGTGTCAATATCTGGCAGATACCAAATCTGAAACTGGATATGACAGCAACTTTACAGGGAGGGAGCTGGTTGGCAGAAGGGGATTATGTGGCTGAGGAAGCAAAAGAGATGTGCAGTCGGTGAAGGATTTAGGGATGTGGAAGTGGGTGGAGGGAGGGAGGGTAGCAGAAAAGTGGTGGGTTGCAGATCCCGGAAGCACCACTGGCTACCCACATTTGACTACAGACTGTCATTCATCACTGTACTAATACTCCTGTATCCCATTCTGCAATGGCACTTTGGTGACAGAAGCCTGCACTCTTTGTTTACTTCATAAATATCCTTACTGATTATATTTTCAATATATAATTGAATATAATATTGAATTTAGTTCAATAATGAACTAAATAAAACTATACATAAAATATTGTCAATTAACAAAATAGACAACCCAGCCAGAAAAAACAACTTTACAAAAATAAAGTGATGCACTGCTCCACCACTTCTCTCTCCATCCCTGCTGATCTTATTAACTTCTTGTTTTGCACAACCGTTTTCCTTTAGATAAGTACATCTTTCTGTATCACATTAAATTCTTCAGTTTTTGTCTTTTGCTGCATAAATAACATGTCCATATGTTGCAATTTCTGCTGTCAATAATAATTATTTAAAAATAGGATATAAAAGCTTCTCCACCTTCAAGGATCAATCTCTTTGCATAACCAAGGGCAATTGCAGCTCATTTTTTAAAAAGCTTTGTAGCCTCATGAATTAAATTAAAATCATATAGCAAATGTATACGTAAATGACTTATTGGGTAACAGATGATTCTAGAATATTTCTAGAGCTTTTGACCATAATTTTCTATTAGGATATTAATAATAGATAATGATACTTAGAACTTGTATAGAACTTTTCTAAATATCTTAGTGTCTTTCAAAAAGGTACACATTCCTCATATTTTACAGATGTGGAAATGGAGCAACCAAATACCCAAAGATTTTCAAAAATCGATGTCTAAAGTAAGTCTCTGAAGTTCATATTTAGCGATCTAAACAGGTGGCCTGTCAAGAACTGAGCACCCAGCAGTTCTCAGGACGCGCTCAGCACTCTTGAAAATCTGCCCACTTCTTTACTTAGGAAAGAACTATTTTAAAAATTTTAGCCCCAATATTTACTAATTATTCCCACATAGCTACCACACATCATTGTCCAGTAGGCCACATTTGAACCAGTGCACAGGTGTTCAATGTATCCTTGGAGGGGTTTGAATTATTTCAGCTTAGAATTACAGTAGAATTTAAGAGTTACGAACACCTCAGGAATGGAGGTTGTTCATAACTATGAAATATGTTATAGTTGTTCTTTCAAAAACTTAAAACTGAACATTGACTTAATACAACTTTGAAACTTTACTATGCAGAAGAAAAATGCTGCTTTTAACCATCTTAGTTTAAATGAAACAAGCACGGACAGTTTCCTTACCTTGTCAATTTTTTTACCTTTCCCTTTATTTTTTTAATAGTTTACATTTAACACAGTACTGTACTGTATTTGAGGGGTTTTTTTTGTTTTGTTTGCGTGTTTGTTTTTTTCTCTGCTGCTGCCTGATTGCATACTTCTGGTTCCAAATGAGGTGTGTGATTGACTGGTCAATTCATAACTCCGAGGTTTTATTGTACTAGAACAGTAGCTCTCAAACTGTTGTACTAGTGACCCCTTTCACATAGCAAGCATCTGTGTGCTACCCTCTCCCTTTTAAATTAAAAACACTTCTTTACATATTTAACACCAGTATAAATGCTGGAGGCAAAGTGGGGATTGAGGTGGAGGCTGACAGCTCACGACCCCCATGTAATAACCTCGTGACCCCCTGAAGGATCCCAACCCCATTTGAGAACCCCTGTACTAGAAGATTGTATATCACAGCCCTTCATAAGTTTATAATAATTAGTCTCTCCTCTATGTATTCATTTAACTTTCATGCTCTCTAGCTATAATATCATATGATAGGATCATTAATATATCATAGTGTGTTCCTGGCCTGATTTTGAAACTAGCAGGAGCTGTGCATGTTCAGTACCTTTGAAAGCCACGACACTAGCAGTCTGGGGCAGAGACCTTGTCTCATCTTGTTCAGTGGTACATTAATACATATTTTACATTTTGTATAGCGTCTTTCCCCCCCAAGAACTGCTAAGTGCCTCTCGGGAACATAGTCACCCCTAAGGTGGCAAGATAGCAACTATTCTACTTGGCTCATCCCAGCAAAGGAGGGAAATTTTGGCCAAAGATACCAGGGGAAATCCCAGTGTTCATATGCCTCTTACTTTTTTAAAATGTCATGAAAGGAGCACTGGATATTTTTGCACTTGCTGGAGCTGATAGCAGGTCCTTTTTAGTCTTGAATAAGTGTCAGATCATCATCCTAAATCTGCACAAAGGGCATGTGTGTGGGGAGGTGGGGGAGCTCTATTCATTCCCTCCGAAGGGACTGGCCACTGTCCGAAGAGGATTCTGGGCGAGATGGACCATTGGTCTCACCCAGTATGGACGTTCTTATGGGATCGGGTGGGAATTCTGGCCCTAGTCAATGCCCAGGGACCACCCAGCGCAGGGCTGCAGGGAGAAGCAGGGCTCAGACAGTCCCAGCCTGGGACAGGACTGCTGAGAAAGTCCCCAACAACATAGAGGGCGTCAGGGGATTCCCACTCCCTAAGGCCCCCAAACCCAGCCAGAGAGAGGGGCACTGGGACACAGAGGGTTCCCCTTCCCACCCCTAAACCAGTGGCACCACGGAGCTGGGAGTGGGAGCTCCCCAGCTCCTGTGATCACCAAAAGCAGCCCAAGGGTGGGGGCCCCTCATGCAGGAGGAGGCCGGGGGCGGGGGGCCTGAGAGCCCCAAACCATCCCATCACCACACCAGGTGGGAAGGGAGGGGGCTCTGACTCTCCCTCCATCCGGAGCACAGGGGCCGAGCAGTGGCCACCCCCCAGTCTCCCGCGCTGCAGCGGGGAGAGGCGGGCTGGCGCGGGGGGCAGCCGGCAGCCGGGGAGGCGGCGCGGGAAGGGAGGGGGGAATCCCCGGCCCCCCCAAAGGAAGAGGGGGAGGGGAGGCTGGGCTGCCGGAGGAGGAGACGGTGGCTTATAAAATAATAATACTAAATGCTGCCTCTTCACAGCAGCCCTGGTGGGGAGGGTAAGTCTCGGGGGGAGGGCCTCCCCCCTCCAGGGACGGGGGCGGATCCTTGCAGCCCCCTCTACGCGTGCGGCGCTGGGGGGGGGGGGGGGGGCTTCGCCGCAGCGCTATTCCCCCCGGTGCAAGGCGGCTGGCCGGGGGCAGCCAGGCGCCAAGGCTCCGGCTCCCTCCCGGGGTGGGGAGCCGGGCTGGGGTGGGGGGCTCGGTGCGCCGCCGCGCGAGCGTCTGGAAACTCCCCCCCAAGCGCGTCAGGGGCTGGCTTCTCCCAACCAGGCTGCCCCGTGGGCTGCTCCGGGCTCCCTTCAAACAAACGAACAATTGCCCCAGAGCTAGCGCGGGAGGAGGCAGCCGGCCGGGGGGGCGGGAAGGGCTGCTCGGCGCTTCCCGGCCCGGGAGAGGAAGAGGAGGAGGACGAAGAGGAGGGAAAGCAGCTGCAATCCTCTCGGCTCCCCTTCCCCTGCCTCAGCGCGGCTCTGCTGATGCTTGGCTGCTGCTGGGCTGGTGGAAAGGGCTGGCTGAAGGTAAGGACTGGCACTCTGCGCGCTGAGAAGGGCTCGCTCGCTCTCTGGGTTGCCCTGGATCCAGAGGGGTTGCGAGGAGCCCTTCCCACCTGTGCTCCAGTCTCCTAATGTCACCTTGGAAGTTACTTTTTGTTTGCAGAGTTCCCATGGAGGCTCCTCAGGGCAGCCTGGGCATTGCACCACCTCTCCTCTGGAGACAGAGACATTGGGGTGGGGCTGGACTTCGCTGGGAAGTGGCGCTTTCGGGGGGCCTTTCAGGGTCATTTTCTTCACCCCATTTTCAAATACCACCAGCCGCCCGCTGCAGAACTCCCCAGATTTCATGGCACTGCTCACTTTGTTTGTGCCCTCACCTTTGAGTGGCAAAACGAAGGGGTGGGGGAGGTTGAATTGTTTCCTTTGTGGTGGGAGAGGCTTTAGTGACCTTCCAAAGTTTTGTTCCAGCAGGAAACCGTTCTATAAGTTTTTCAGAAATTAGGCTGTTTCTGGCATCATCTATTATGTTAGATGGTTGTGGTTTGGTTTACAGTCTTACACGCTATATTCTTTTATGGGAGGGGGGGGAGACAGAAAAAATGGACATTTGGATGTTGTTTAGCTACTTGTGGCTTCATTAATAACTGTATTTTATATGTTGCAATTGTACATAACTTTATTGACTGAATATAGCATAGTCACTATAGGACACGGTGTATGTGTACATTATATATAAAATTAAATCAGGAAAATAAAAAATTGGTTTAAATAAATTATACTGTCTTCTAAGATTTAAAACATTCCATCACTGCTTGGCAAGAAGATCAATAGTTGAGGATGCACTTGCTATACACAATCCTGTCTTCGCTACGCCATAGTTAAAAAGGGTCTACTAATGATTATACCATTAATATTCTTTTCCAACTTCAGTAAAAGTTAGATAAATGTAACAAGTGATTAATTTATAATATGGTCTAAAACAGTTTTTGGTATTGTGGATAAATCAATAACTAATCAAGATTATTAAACTATGAAAGGGGCTACTGCTGACATGTACTAACAGTATTTCCAAAGGATTTTATTATGTATTTTAAATACAAGTTTGCATCCTAAATTTATGTACCCAAAATAGGCTTTTGACTCCTATGAGAAGAATATATCTTTTGAGAAAAGTATTTAAGGGGCCATTATATCCTGCAGTGGAGTACTAGCTTGTAATAAGATCCATGAATAATAAACTGTGTTTCATGGTGCCAGACACACTGGCAGTGTGTTGCATGCATAATACTTTTTGAATTGTTATTTTACCTATGGATTTTCTTGGCATTCTTATATGTAGATCAAGTAAATGCATTAATTGATGGACACACATTAGTTATGGTGTAATTCAGCCATGGATTTATTGGGTATTATCTGGCTTTGCTGTTGTGATTTATTTAATTTGTCTCAGAGGGCAAAAATCTTGACTGAGCACCCTTGTAATTTTTATCTTTCTGTGAGTGTACACTATATATACATACACCATTCCCTCGTTAGGTTTTATTAGAAGTAGAATAACCATTTTAAAAAATGCCTACATGAGTTCACACATAGAAAAATGCCCATTTTCAAGATATACAAATGTGCTTGATAGATTAGAGCAAATCTATAATACATGTTTTAGAACCTTCCATTAAGATGCGATTTTAAAAATATTTGAAATGGTGTTATAAACATATGAAAATGCAAATACGTGTATAAAGTTGACACTCTAGTCTTATTTACACAGGTTGTGCTTTTTTATTTAACTCTGCATGTTCAGTGTGGGAGCTATTGGTATCAGTGTAAAAAGGGCTAGAGGTCTGAAAGCACACAACCTTTCTGGACGGTTCAGCCTCTTGAGAGAAATAGTTCCCCTAACAGTGTGGTTTTGTAGGAATATCTGTTGTGATATGCTGAGGAGTTTCTCTCAAAAGTCACAAAATAATTGTCTGCTCCTACTCCTGTGGAAATCATTGGGAACAGAATTGGGCTCTGTGTTCCAAATTGGACTCACCCGAGTAGTTCCACTGGTTTTGGCCCTCGTATTTCAGTAGAAGATACGGAGTTATGTGAAGAAGTCACTATGGGCACAGTTCTGTAACACTGAAGTCAATAGGAATTTAGCCGTTGAATTATACAGGAAAAAGATTAAACCCTGTGATACCAGATTACTATTTAATCCATTTATCAAAACAGTTCCTGTTTTCAGACAGGTGAATCAATAATAAATAGTAAACAAAGAAAAACTGTACTCCATTTATCAAAACAGGTCCTGTTTCCAGACAAACAAAACAATAACAATTAGTGAACAAAGAAAAATAGTGTATAGTGAGAATTTTAATACTGAGAACATTAATAGCAATGTTCATCCAAATTATTAGCAATAATAATAAAAAAGAAATCATAAAGGTCATTTTTCAGACCTTGCTTTGACAGAAGCTAAGGATGAAGGGCTGGATTCAGAGGCGATACGTAAGGTAGCGTAAATGAGACTCCCTTACACATATTGTACTGACACTGGTGTCAGAACTGGAAGAGACAGAACGTGATTATGTTAAAGTAGGGTGAGGGCTACTTGCGTGTTCTGGACCTTATACTGTTAGACTCTGAATGGAGTGCACACATGAATAGAGTTGGGTGTAAGTACAATAGAATAGAGTTGGGTGTAAGTTGGGTGTACTGACTGAGTACAAGGTGATCTTGCACCACTCTATACATTATCTCTGAATATGATATGGAGTTTTTATGTTAACCCTCAATATTCTGGATTATGTCTATCAGAAATGTTAAGCATGTTAAGCATGCATCCGATGAAGTGAGCTGTAGCTCACAAAAGCTTATGCTCAAATAAATTTTTTAGTCTCTAAGGTGCCACAAGGACTCCTTTTCCTTTGCGGATACAGGCTAACATGGCTGCTACTCTGAAACCAAGCATTTTTTTGTGCATACAGGAGCGGGAGTTCTCAAAGTTCATTTTCTCCTCTTTATTCCCTGTCAAAAGCCCATGCTTTGGATCTAATGTTCTTCTAGGTAAAATAGTTGTGAATTTACTGCTTGTGAAAGGTGATAAGAGTGGAAATGGAGTCCTGCAACTGTTTCTGTGTAGAACAGATACCGTATGGACAGTAGCAGAACTGTTCTGCTAATGAATATCCAACTGGTGCTGCAGGGACCACTTTAGAGGGGTAAAGGAGTTTATTCTTTATGTCTATTCACTCCTTGACCTCCTTGTTGAAATTGTCAACAAATGTGCCAGATGTGATGTGTTATCAGAAGTTATGTTCATACTACCAACTAACCCTCACTATGTAACTTCCAGTAACAGCTAATCTGGAATGGATTCATTACACTGACTACATGTAAAATGCTTAATTTCCCCATTCAGTCACTGAATTCAGTGACTTCACTGGGAGCAGGATTGGGCCCTTAATGTTCTTTCAACATACGCTATTGTATTTAATTACATAGGTACTTATTAGAATCAATATGGTAAGGATGGGTCAGGATATCCATTAAAATGCCTATTTTTAGGAGTATTGGTCTGTATATTTCAACTGTAAATATTTGCTCTGATTGAAGCTTGTCTTGTATTTTTTTAGCTTATGAATTATTATTAATAACAAGGTTACTGTTAATGGCAAATATATTTTTAAAAGCTACTTTTTCTGCAGAATCTTTTCTTCCTGTCCTCCTACCCCAATTCTTCTCTATAGGCCTAGTCCAACTCCTCTTAAGGCCAATTAAAGTCTTACTATTCAGCCAGAGACTGAATCTAGCAGAGCAGCTGCAGAAGCAGTGGTCAACGGACACAGATATTTTCTACAGTTTTGACAGGATTTTCTCTGGCCTGTGCTGATTGGCTGTTTGCTCCAACCTCCTCCAGTTTCTTCACCTCAGTGTTACTCCATGCTTGCCTATCTTACCTTCCATCCCTTCCTTCTTCTCACCTGCTCTGTCCCTGTAACCTCTCTCCCTTCCCATGCCTTCTCTGTAACAGCTAATCCCTTCCTATCCACTCCCCTTTCCCCCGACCCATGTAAAAGAACTAATGTGGCATTGCTGACTAAGCTTTTTGGGGAAGGGACTGTTTATTGCTCTATGTTTGTACAGTGCCTAGCACAATGTGGCCCTGATCTGAGTTGGTTCCTAGGTAGTGCTATAATAAACATAATTATTATTAATAATTAATAATACCAGTGACTTCAGTGGATGCCCAAACACACAAGTTCTACTTACTGGTTCTACAGTCATAAACTAATAAATTCTTTTCTCAGAATTATATATAGCGCCTGGTCTTGAGAGTCCTTTCTTACATAAGTAGCCCCATTAACGTCAGTGGGACTAGTCATTCCTCACTTGAGGAAGAAGTTGCGGGTTTGGATTGCTACTCAGCCATGCTGGTACACATAAGGAATATACAAAACAGCCACCTAAATTTCAGCTTCATTTTGTTACACTTGTGTATTTGTATTTGTATCAATGCAGCTCAGCTTCCTTAGATGCATTCACTGCGGGTTTCCTCCATGCATAGCTCTCTCCTCTCTGACATGGAAGGCAAGAGGGCTCAGCTGCATCTGCATCCTCCCCTCTCCTGTGGGCCTTATGGAGGGCACCATGTGAATCTGGAGTTTGTTCAGAGGGAAAGGGGGAGGACTGGGAGGAGCCCAGAAGCTGATACACATTTTGTCCAGCCCAAGGAGGCTTTCTGGAGAAGATAATATGGTCTGAGCCCGTAATATATTTTCCCTGGTAGAAGTCCTGTAGTGCAGCTCCTGTGTAAACACAGGGTCTTTGTACGGATGGCTGTGGCTTCCAGCAGATCCCTGGGGATCTGGCACGTTTGGGGCTGATCCCATGGCTTTTTCTATAGGAAAATCCTGATACCTCATTCCTTTCACCCCTAATAGAGATGATATGAGGGGATTTCTGTGGAGATTTTCTCCTTCCAAAGGTTTTACCGCTGGAGGGGATGACCTGGCTCAGTGGTTGATAGGGCAGTGCGC